TGCCGAATAATCATCTAAATTTGAGAGTAGAAATCGGAAATGCTGAATTTTATTAAAATTTGGTGTTATTTTTTTTTGATGTAGAAATTGGAAAGGACTAATTTAGGTCAAATTAATATAAAAATTGAAATAGTCAAATTTTATTAAAATTTGGACTCTGAATTTTTGACTAAATTTAGGTCGAATTAATATAAAAATCAGAATGGTCGAATTTTGTTAAAATTCGGGCATCGAATTTTTGGTTAAGTTAGGTCAAATTAATGTAGAATTCGGTGTGGCCGAATTTTTATTAGTTGAATTTTAAAAAATTAGCCGATTTTTTGCCAAATATTATTGTAATTCAACCTAGTCGAATTTCTAGTTTACGACTAGTGTTTGCTTTTATAATTATATATATATAATAACAAATTAGTATAGTATAAACTTCAAGTGATAACCATACAATGCTATAATATACTGATCTGGTAGCTATACGTTTTTACAAGATAAAAAAATTCACTATTGTTATATACTATTTATTTGTAAGTTTCTTAACACCAGTACTGTAAATGCTATACAAAGGATCTTCCAACAATAGACCCGCCTTGTACTATATCCAGGTGCATAACTGAAAAGTAATTCTTTTTAAAATTCCAAGTTATCTCAAATTTTGCTTTCTACAATATAAACATGCAACATAGTACTAAAAGAGTCAATTCAAAGCAAACCCAGGTTATGCTTATTATAGATGAGAATATATTGTGATTTTTGAGAATAAGAAAATAAATTAACAAAGATCAATAGAAATCTCTGGGATATTACTTTAATTCCAAATAGCAGAGAAATGCTGATTCAAAAAGCTTTACAAAGCCTAAACAATGGACTAACAAATGAACCAAAAACTAGACTAACCAATGGACTAATCAATGGATTAACTAATGGCTATTTTTCTACGAATTGGATAATAATATTATAGTTGTTTTCATAAATTCTGAAACGGGTGTTCTGATGACCAAATTATTAAGTTACTGATGTCAGCTGAAATCAAAAGCTTATCATTCGCTTATTGACAATTTCTAAAACGTTCCAGAATTTATGAAAATAGCTGTAACTTATTCAGAGAGAATAAGTTTCACTCTATTCCATTTGTTGATACTAGTTAATTAATGATGAATTTTTGATTTAATTTTTTAGATTCAAGTTCTGATTATGAGAATCACAGGACCAATATTTTTTCAGCACGACTATGTCGCATGATATAAACTCTTATTAATGTGCTATACTCAGAATCTATTAGAGGTTTTAAATTCAGTAAATCATACTTGGTGTCTTGTATAAAAGAAAACATTCCAGTAGTTTAGGTTTAGGTAAGCTTTCTAAGTATCTTGTAATATAAAGCAGGTTCATATCTTAGTATTTTGTTTTATACTTCTTATTATAAACATCTTTTTGTCTATATAAATATAATACAGTATTTTCTATTTAGATCATGAAACTTTCCGGAAATAGAGCTGACTATATCTTTGAGAAAACAAAGGTTTATTTTGTTTAATCTAAGAATTTGGATAATTCTTCTAATGAATTGGGTCAGATTGGATAATTAATTTAATCTGAAACCAGGTCTGAGATAATGTGAGTGTAGCCAAGGGGAAAGCTGTTATCGGGCTTTTAATATTTTGACTATACCCAATCCATTTGATTTATTAGTGATTGTGTCAGGTATAAAATATAATTGAAAACCCGATAACAGGTTTTCTCTTGGCAGCACTCATATACTCAATAGACTAAGTTAGGTACATATCAGCATAATATAATAATAAAATTTATAGGCTCAGTGTGATCGTATTAAAAAAGTTACATATATATGTGTGGTTCAAAAGTTAGTGTAAATTAATGTTATTAAGTCTAATTTGTTTAATTTATTTATTATTAGAATCGAGTAGTACTTAAATGGAACTTAGATCAAATGTATAGTATAGCAAATACATAGAAGACAGGTTTTATAAGTGAATTTCATAATTATAATTAGAAAAATAATATTAACTATCATTAAACTATACTATCATTCTTATGTAATTATTTGAATGTGTTATTTTTCTAATATAAATATTATTTAACTTATTCTCTGAGATGCGTCAGAGAAGTATTGTTTATATATTCTTTCTTGTTCGATACTCTTCCTGCCACTGTATTATCTCAAAATAATATACTGAGGCATTATTTTGAGATAATACGGTAGTTACTAACTTCTCCTATTAGTTCTTTTACCTCTAAAGATGGTTTAATAATTCTTATCATTGATTAGTAAAAATTTTCAATAATGAGCATAATAATGTACATCATATAAAGTATGAGACAATGGATTACAATATATAGTAGTTAATGAAAAACATAAAGAGAGTTAGAATTGAGGCATGACTAGTGGGTTCAATTGGAAAATATGGCCTGTCTGAACAACAGCCTTATATATAACATTTCTAAATAGCATTCCATAAACTGTCAGAACAATAGTCATGATTTTATTAAAAAGTTAAATAATAGATACTAAGAAACTTGTAGATTGCTCAATAAACAGGAAAAATTTTGTTTTCATAGTAAGATATCAGTAACGAGAAACAAATACAGTAATGTCATGTGAAAATTCAAATCTCATTATTATAGTATTATATGATCTTATAGATCAGATTTTATTTCAAAATTTGATATCGATTATAAATTGAGATTTATTTTAAACTAAAATTGAATTTATAAACTTGCACAGTACATTGTAATAAAATTTATCTAATTATTTAATTCTTTATCAATATCAATACCTAATAATTTTTCTTTTTCAATATTAGCTAGTTCTTGAACATGAAGATTAGCTAATTTTGCTTGTTTTTCAATTTCTAAAATTTCTTTTCGATGTTGAAATTTATAATCTATTAATTTGAGTTTTCTTAACTTTTCTCTTTTAGCAATTTCAATATCAAGGTTATTCAATTCTTCATTGCTTGTTGTAATAGTGTTTGAATTTGGTAAGCTTCGTTTGTTTGCAGGATTATTTTTTTTATGTTTTTGGTTTTCTAAAAATATATATATTTAATTAAACACAGTAATACTATGTAAATTACACCAGTGGTATTCAACACCACTTTTTTTTAATAATTTTTCTAATAAAATTTAGAGTGGAAGGTGCTAAACATTTTTACTTATTATAGCTAGCATTGGCTATTTGAGATATAGTAACTATGGTGTTAGATACCACTGGTGCAATTTAGTAAAACCAATCAAACCAATTAATATATATAGCAATAGTCATTAATTTACCTAATCATTTGATCGATTTAGTAGCTCTAGCTATAGGACCTGATGAATGACCAGTTTTTGGAATATTGTAGTTACTTTGATATCTACATGTTGTTAAATGGCGTTCATCTAATCGTTTTCCTCTATATATGTATTTTAAAAAATTTTTAGTATATAAATTTTTAATTAATAGAAAAAGGTAAAAAAATAAATTTAATCTTTTTAATTGCTAACAATAAACTAATTTGAATGCCTTCTCAATTGGCATCAGCATAAGTGGACTCAGCAATATTCGTATTTTCTTCAATAATATTTGAGTAATGATGATTTAAAGAAGCCAGTCACCATAATTTTGAATAATAATTTTTTTATTCTAATTTATAAAATAAAATAATATTATATTATGCTGAAATATTATTAATATAATATATAAAGTAGATATGCCTAATTTGGCATGCTTATGATATCTCAGAATCTACTAATTAGAATTGCATCATTTTGGTACCATTCGATCTGTCTCGATGAGACGAATCGAATGGTACTAAAATCATGCGATTCTGAGCGATAGATCACGAGATATCATTATTATTCGAATAAGATAACAATTTTCTTTTTAAAATTTTAATATAAATTAACCATAACACACCTAAAATGGCAATTTCTATTAATTTAATCAGTTTTATGTATTAAGTAAAGTTATTTGCCATAAAAAGATCTACTTATTTTTGAATTTTTACATAATTTGAACAACTTTTTAGTAATCAACTTTTATGTTTTACATTTCTGCACCAAATTAGGTTTTTAAATATAGAAATGTAAAACATGAAAGTTAATTAATAAAAGGTTATTCAAATTACATAAAATTTGTATATAAGTAGATTTTGTTATAGCAAACAACTTTACTTAATATATAAAAGTTGATTAGGTTAATAAAAATTTCTGTTTTAGATATATTACAGTCAATTTATATTAAAAAAATTATTTTTTATTTAGAATCGAATTATTTTGATACCATTCGATTCATTTCACTGAGATGAATCGAATAGTGCAAAAATCATTCGATTCTGATCACTGGGTCATGAGATATCATATGATGTTTACAGTATGCTGATTTAGGCATAGTAGAAAAATTTCTCCTTTTTTTTATTAATTTTTTAATTAATGATATCTCATGACTTTGTGATCAGAATCTAACGATTTTTATACCATTCAATCCATTTCATCAAGATGAATCGAATAGTACCAAAACTTGATTCTGATTGATCTATCATGTGATTTTTGTCATAATACTTAACTGCGCCAAATTAGGCATACTTATTTCTTAAAAAATATGTGTATGTAAAATAGTACGTAATATATAATTAAAACTTAATTACTGTAAATATGCATATACAAGACCCAGTTAGGCTATATTATGAAAAGAAAAAAATTTAAAGTGCATACACACTTTGTACTTATAATAAACAGTCTAGCTATTTAACAAAAAAAACAAATTTCATAAATAAAGCTCTGTGGTTTGAAACCAGGTCTAAATTATGATGGGTTTACTATTTTATATGCATATTTACAATATATATGTATATGATATGATACTATAAAGTAAATCGACTATAATAAACTAATACCTAATGCACCATCTTCATTTGACTCA